GGGCCCCTATACTGAACACTGTCCCCACATTTTCCACAGGATGAGTTCATCCTGGAAGATATCTAGCTGCTGAGGGTGACCTGGAAAGCAAGGGAGTGTCTTCTACTACAATGCGGCTTTCCACCCTGGCTCATATGCAGCTTGCCTGTGTGCAACAATGGCCCCCCACCCGTCACAGCACAGTGGCGCGGATATGTTAGCCTTACTGGGACAAGGAGCACAGTAGCTCTGCCAAGGAACCTGCGCAAGTGGATTGCCCAGCTTCTGCATGAGACCTTTGAAGAGATCACTAAGGTCGATTATTGCGATGTGAGAGAGCACATCAACTCCCTATTCCGCATCTAGGCATGCATGTAGTCCTAACCCTCCTCGCCCCAAGAGTCTGCACTGAACAACTTCCTTCCCAAAATAAAAGCCACTTACCGGGCACCTCCTCTGCTGTTTGTCCTTCCCCAAGCACCGTCCACTGCAACTGGCTACCTTCCTCCTGGCTTGAAACCAGCTCCCGGGTGCATGCATCTAGGATGATGGGCTGTCCCCCTCCTCCTCAGCACCCTCGCTCCCACTTTCCTCCTCCTGCCTTGTTGAACTGGGCTCTGAATTATCCATGGTGGTCTTCAGAGTGGAGGTGGGGTTGCCTCCAAGTATCGCGTCCAGCTCTTTGTAGAAATGGCAGGTCGCGGGGGCAGCACCGGAGCGGCTGTTTGCCTTGCGGGCATTGCGGTAGGCATTCCGCAGCTCCTTCACTTTAACCCTGCACTGCAATGTGTACCGGTCATGGCCCATTTCCTTCGTGTCCCTTGATATCTGCCTGAAGGTATCATAATTCCTACAGCTGGAGCTCAGCTGGGACTGGACAGCTTCCTCCCCCCAAACGCTGATGAGGTCCAGCACCTTGCCATTGCTCCATACTGGGGATTGTCTGGCGCGTGGAGGCATGGTCATCTGGAAAGATTCGCTGAGAGCACTTCACACCTGGCTGAGCAAACAGGAAGGGGATTTTCAAAATTCCCAGAGAATTTAAAGGGTGGCGTCTGACGGTTGGTCATCTGAGGGCAGGGCAGTAGAGGTCAAAGTGATGACCAGAGTGGCTAGAACAGGCATTGTGGGACACTTCTGGAGGCCGCTCAGAATGCACTAACAGACCAGGGTGTCCACACTGGTGCCGCGGCGCTCCACCCGGGGCGCAGCAAGTATTATGCTTCTCGTGGAGGTGGATTACAAAGGTGGTGGACTCCAGCTGTGGAGTCTGGGCGCTCTACGTGCCTTGCGAGTGTGGCACATCAAGAGTTAGGGCCCCTGGGCTGCTTTAATGTGCTCTAACTTGCAAGTGTAGCCAAGCCCTCAGTCATTTTTAGTGTACTCTGCATCTCGTACAGTATCAGATGTTACCTGATTTTGTAAATGAAGGGATCAGACCAATACCTGCCCACATCACACTGGAGTTTAGAGAACTTCACACACACAAAGAACAAATATGAATGTTCAAAGGTAGAAAAAAACTCACTGTAAGTATAAGTTCATTCAGATCTGCTTTTTTTCCAGAACTTGGGCATTAGAATGATCAAGAATTAGCTAAGAGATAGGAAGTGGAGAAATACATAGTAGGTGTTTGATGTGCATGTGAACAAACTGAACATCTCACTGCAATAGATCCTACAAAATTGGGAAGAGAGGACAAGAGAATGAAGAAGTGGGGAGGAGAAAGAAACACTGAACAGGTTTTTGTAGTTTACTCTCATGAGTTTGTTTTGTTATTTGTTTGTTACTGTGGATATCTTTATCTAAATTTATCTTTCACCTGCTATGTTTATGAGCATATTTTGTGTAATGACATGTATGCACTGAATGCATCCGATGCATCTCATGAAAGCTCATGCTCAAATAAATTTTAGTCTCTAAGGTGCCACAAGTATTCCTTTTCTTTTTATGTATGCCTTAGTAAATTATGGGTATACTCGAGGAAGGGAAAGGGAGATGCAATTGATTGGTCAGTGTGAGACTAAAGTTCAAATTGCTAGCTATGCCCCTAGTTTAATAGATATTCCTGGAGTGAACACAAGAGCTGTAATTCACTTGAGAGGCTTTGCTGATACCATGAACCACAGGACTGCACCTCCAGCAGTTTATGACTGGCAGTTGGTCTCTAAGAGTAAGTTCAACCTTAAATTCACTCTTGGGGTATGTGTTATGCATTGTATATATTGCATTAACTTCTGTATTTCACTCTGAAAGTTTAACACTTCCGTCAGTAAATGTTTGGTTTCTAAACTGACCAAGGTCAGTGAAAAAGGTAGACAGGCTCAACCAAATTTCTGCAGGTTGGCTATCTTAAACATTGTGTGACATGAAAACTGCAGGATAAGCTGGGATATTTTCACTACCTTAGGGCTCAATTGTACCTTTTAAGGCACGGATCTACATTGGGGGCAGGGCAGAAGCATGCTATCCCACGAGGAGACACTATGCTTCAGAGATGGGCCTGGACCAAAATCCTTGATCCAAACATCCTTCCAAGCTGGGGGGAAGTTTTGAATGCTAGGACAAATGACCTGCAGCTGCTCCTCCTGGCCACCATGTGCCACTGGTGCACCTTTCTGGCTTGTTTTACCTGTCTCCTGCTACCTTGCCTCATGGCTCAGCTTTGTATCCTCTTCCCATCACTGTACAGGGGAAGGTGTGTTGATGATAAATGGAAGTTTGTTATATGCAAATAAGCTCATTAAATGTACACAGAATGGTGCACACACAACTACACTGCGGACTGGCATGGAAAGAGTTTCCTTCCTGCCCCTTTCTGGCATAAGAGTAGGTGTGGAAAGATTAGATTTTTATTGGTAAATGTCAGTAAATGTGTATTTCACCACATACACAAACCCATGGAAAAATATTTCCAATAATAATAATTGAAATCTAGGCAGCATGTTTTTCTTTTCTGAGTACTTATTGGCGTCAAAATCCAATGATTTAGATTTTTGAATTAGGCTTCTCACAATGAATGAATAGTAAAGACAGGCAAAAAGAAAAGCAGTACTTGTGGCACCTTAGAGACTAACAAATTTATCTGAGCATAAGCTCAAAAAGACAGGTGTGATCTGTTGATTTAAGGATATTTTCTTTGTATAGTTTGACATGTGATGTGAAAAGTTTGTTTTAATGGTTATAAATAGGGCCCTACCAAATTCATGGTCCATTTTGGTCAGTTTCACAGTCATGGGATTTTTAAAGTTGTGAATTTCATTATTTCAGCTACTTAAATCTGAAATGTCACCCTGTTGTAATTGTAGGGGTCCTGACCCAAAAAGGAACTGGGGGCGGAAGGTTACAAGGTTATTGTAAGGGGGCGGGGGCTGCGGTACTGCTACTCTTACTTCTGCGCTGCTGCTGGTTGCAGCGCTGCCTTCAGAGATGTGTGGCCAGAAAGCGGTGCCTGCTGGCCAGGAGCCCAGCTCTGAAGGCAGAGCTGCTGCATGCAGAGCTGGGCCCTCAGCCAGCAGCCGCCACTCTTTGGCCGCCCAGCTCTGAAGGCAGCAGTGCAGAAGGGTGGCATGATGTGTTATTGCCCCTATTACTTCTGCGTTGCTGCTGGCGGGATGCTGCCTTCAGAACTGGGCACCCAGCCAACAGCCACAGCTCTCTGACTGCCCGGCTCTGAGTGCAGCGCAGAAGTAATAGCGGCAATACTGTAACCCCCCCCTAAAATAACCTTGTGACCCCCCACACACACACAACTCCCTTTTGGGCAGGACCCCCAATTTGAGAAACACTGATCTCCCGTGAAATTTGGACTTTTGTGTGCTTTTACCCTATACTATACAGATTTCACAGGGGGGACGGACAACATTTCATGGTAGTGATGCATTTTCATGGCCGGGAATTTGTTAGGGCTCTAGTTATAAAGCTTTAACTTTTTGAATCTCAACATCCTACTGTCACTAAATAATTGTCCAACCACCCCATAATTTCCCACAACTGTGAAAATGTAAATGGCTAAAAATAGGGGGAAATGATTAAAAATAAACAGTGCTATGTGTCAATTATAGAAAATAAAAAGCAAATTCTTCTAAACATACTTAAGAAAAAACACATGCTTCCCAGGAGCCTGGGATCTGCTACTGTGAGAGGTAACTGCCTTAGGGTGATGTGGGGTTTCTAACAATACCTCTCCATGCCTGTACTAGGGATGTTCACAATCTGACCCCATAACAACTGATCACATTAATGGGGATGATTATTAAGGGTACATTTAGATTCTTTATGACACTTGTGTGTTTCTGTTCCTTTAATAAAAATCAGAATGCTAAAGCCTCTTGCTTTATATTGCTCCTACCTTCAACTAATCTCTATCTCTCATCTGCCCCAACATGTTACTTTTACACTGCCCCCCCCCCCGAACATGCCATGTCTTCCTCCTGCACCCCTAAGCTGCTCTGAGTCTGTCCTAAGGCAGGACCTTCTGTGCTTAAAGCAATGGACCTGGGGGCGCTGAATGCAGTTCCTACCTCTGCCTTAGACCCTTGTGCAAGTCACTGCACCTCCCTGTGCCTCAGTTCCCCATCTGTAAAAGGGGGATAATACTTCCTTTCTCCCATCCTCTGCCCGTCTGGTCGATGTGGATTAACGCTCTGGGGCAGGGGCTGTCTCATTATATAGACCTAGCGGCACAGGTGCAATTTCTGACGGGTGGCAGGAGCTTCTCCTCCCCCCAGCCTCCCCTGATGGCCTCACCCCGTTGCTGCCCCACCCCCCGCTCTCCTTCTCCAGTCCTGGCTCCTTATTTCCCCCCTGGGCTCCTCGTCTTGGGCCTCATCCCCCGGCCCTGCCCCTGCCGCTCGGGCCCGGGCAGGGCAGCCGCCGCCCGTGTGCAGCCCCCTCGCACATGCTCCCTGGGCCGGCGGCGGCGCTCTGAGCATGTGCAGGGGGGCCGGGCCGCCGCCGCCGCCGCCGCCCGGGGGCTCTGCCTGGCGCGCCCAGGTCCCTCCCAGGTGAGGCTGCGCCGGGCGGGGTGAGGAGCGGAGCGGGCGGGCGGGCGCAGCAGGGCCCCCGGCTTGCCGGCGGCCCCAGCCTCTTTGCGGCCCCGGGCCAGCTCCGGGCGCAGCCGGCGGCATGAGCGGGCCGGAGGAGGAGAAGCAGCTGGAGCGTCTCACCAGCCTGAAAGCGCGAGGTAAGGCAGCGGCGGGCGGGGAGATGATCTGGTGCGTTTCAGGGAGCGGCTGCTGCCATTGCGGCCGCTGCCGCCGCCTCGGGCTCCGTGGCAGGGTCAGGCAGGCGAGAGAACAATTGCACCGGCTGAGCCCCCGTGCAGCCGGCCACCCCCCGCCCGCGGTTGCGGCCGGGGCTCTGGCATGAAACAAGCGGGGCTGGGCGCAAGCCGGGCCAGGCGGGTGTGGGACTCTCCTGGCTCACTGATGTGTGACTCAGCCTCAGAGGAAGGGTGGGGAGAAAGGCACGCTGCAGACGAATTGCCTTGGGCACCAGCTTCACGCCTCCACCATGGAGCTAATACAGGGCCCCCTAAGGCAGCGATTTCAACCAGGGTAGTCACCGGAGGGCCTAACTTTGAGGCCTGTTTGATTCTCCTCCCAACCTCCCCCGATTTGAGATTTTTCTCTTGTTCCCCATTCTCTCTCGTGAAGGCTTGTATAGTTCTAATGGTTAATCTCTTCCCTTTTCAGGGCATATAAATCACCTTGCAGCACTCACCTGTTTTTGCTTGATTGCTGCAGCTAGGTCAGCTGCTGGCATTGGAATAATAGATGTGGGCTGATTTGGGTTGATGGGATAATGAAATATTTTAAGATGTACATAGGTTAACCTATCTCTTTCTTCCTCCCAGCAAGTGCAAAATAATCCTGTACAATAAACCCAATATCAAATGCCTAAATAAATTTCCTAAAATGGACCCCAGTGAACTCCAGACATATCTTCCAAAAGGAGGCTCATTAGGCAAAATGTTTCTGTGCAGAAATGACAGGTTTCAGAGTAACAGCCGTGTTAGTCTGTATTCGCAAAAAGAAAAGGAGTACTTGTGGCACCTTAGAGACTAACAAATTTATTTGAGCATAAGCTTTTGTGAGCTACAGCTCATTTCATCGGATGCATACTGTGGAAAGTGTAGAAGATCTTTTTATACACACAAAGCATGAAAAAATACCTCCCCCCACTCTCCTGCTGGTAATAGCTTATCTAAAGTGATCACTCTCCTTACAATGACAGGTTTCAGAGGAACAGCCGTGTTAGTCTGTATTCGCAAAAAGAAAAGGAGTATTAGTCTCTAAGGTGCCACAAGTACTCCTTTTCTCCTTACAACGTGTATGATCATTTGTTTCATGAGGTAAGAATCCAGCTACCCAACAGTCTTCCAAGGGAAGCTAAAACCACATACCATTCCTTGCCATTTCTGAAGTAACTTCCAGAGTCACTTATCCCCCTCAGCAAGGCCGGACGTGTTAAAGTACTGAACAAATAATGACAACTAAAAGTTCATTGGCTGCATAAGAATTATAATCCACTCTTGATCTGGATTGAAACCTCACACTGACATCAGCGTGAGTTCTCTTGTGCCTTAAGTGTAGCATGGAGTCCTAAATTAAATTGAAAATGGAATTTGGCCCTTGCTACCAAATGAGTTTGATACCCCTGCTTTAGTTGCTGTCTTCTGCTTTTCATAAAGGCATACAGTGTTCCAGCTCTGTAGATGTTGAGGTCTCTTGAATGCATATTGGCACACTTCAGGACAACTGCACCAGTATTTCCCCATAGTCATACAACAAGGGTACTCACTCTCAGACTTCCAACTCCCCAGCTATTGCCCTCCAAGATGGAGTCCCACATGTCTCTCCCTGCTGACCCAGGTATTTCCAGGCTTCATAGTTCCTGCCTTCACCCTGTTATTCCCAGCACAGACCGGTTGCCTGAAGACACCTGCTTGCTTACTCTTCAGAGACGGTTAATAGGTGTAATTGCTACAGTTTAAACTGCCACACAGTGCTTCCTAGGCAAGCTTACTTTATTCTTAAGGTAAAAAAGCATTACAATGAAAACATTAAAAACAGCTAAAGAAGCTACATGCATTCTAATGAGCTTACCAGAGTCCATCCCAACTCTATGGATTCTAGTAGGAGCAGTCCTTCAAATCCCCCTCCAAGGGGATGCATTATGATTGCAGGTTCACCACAGTTTCAGTTTAGAACAAGCACCCGGGCTTATGGGACCTCAGTAGGCCCAGTCCTCCCAACCCTACCATAAGGATTGGGGACTTCTGTGGACCAGGGGTCCCGTGCCTTTGTTGAATCAGGAAGAAGGCCCTGAGCTAGTTTAAAAGCAGGCTTTTTTTTTTTTTTTTTTTTAAACAAAACAAAAACACAAACCTTTCTTTGTCTCTTGCCCCTGGAGAATCCAGTTTGAACAAGTATATGGATACCTCTCCAAGGGGATAGCTTCAAAGGGCTGTTAATGGAAGAAGTCCATTAGCATACACCTCCCTACTAGAGAAGATGCATACAATGCCAAAATAACACATACTCAATTGTGTTTTTCATACAGTGTACCCCAAAAGTATTAACCCTAATTCAATAAGGTTTCTTAATTCGATAAGGCTTTGTTCAGGTTATAAAAGGCTACTGTCAATCTGTCACATGTATTGTGCCATGATGTTTGGTTCAATCTATAAGTAGCCAGATGAACTGGAAGAATTGGCTTTATCAGCTGCTTGCATTTCAGTTATGCATCTACTTGATCAGTGCAGCTCATACCCTAACATACAAAGGGTTTGCAGCTTTGTAGTAGTCAGATACAAAGGGTTTGTAGCTCCACCTTTAATTTTTGAAGCAGATTTATGACTTGAGATGCATTTTATTTGTGTACACTACATCACAGTTCCTTCAGCTGTACTTAAACTGTCCTCTGCACATCATGAGGTGGCTTTGTTTTGAAAAGGAAATTTTTAACTATAGCTGGTAGTAATTTGCATGGATATATTGGACAGAATAGTATGATGCAATTTTCTCTTCTCTTGAGTGGGAATGGTGTAGGTCTGGTGATTGGCATGCGTGCTTACATTGTGTATGAGTCTGATGTATAAATTTACCTCCTCTCCTCTACTGTACAGCTGAATTTTTTTGAGCGTCAGCTCTAAGACTTCAGATAGTTTTAGAGGTGGTTTTTTTTTTTGTTTTGTTTTGTTTTTTAAATTTCCCAGTAACTAGCCCAACTGCTGGATCCACTGCTGCTCTAACTTGTATTCCGGCCTGTGAACAAGTTCAATAAGTGTTCATTCATGATTCTCAAATGGACACACTTCTGTAATTCAACACCAGATACACAAATTTAGATAAAGTTATTCTAAACAACTAGTCCTCACTGCTGTCCATCAGCACCGTTGGTTCCAAAATGCCAACAATCACTGAAATGACTACACATTTTGGAGTATTCCTCACAGGCACTTTGGAGAAAATCCTGTTCTTATTGAACTCGGTTGGAATAAGGCCAGGATTTCACCCATGATGTCTAGGGATCCTCCAGCCAGACAACCGTAACACTGTTAACTATCTAATGGAGCTTATGGCACTCCAGGAAATAGGTTGGGGAAAAGATATCATGGCTCAAGTATGTTCTGCCCTAGATCCACATCTGTTCTTGAAATGGGACACTGTCACATGCAGATGAAGAGCAATATTTTATCATAAATTATATACATTTATTTTAAATGTGGGAGTTTTCCGATGCTATTACAAAACCTAAGAACAACAGAAATATTGTCATGCTCATGTGAGTTTGGGATTTTTTTAAAAGGAAAAAATATTCCAATGGAAAGTATTTGTAAACATTTATTCCCTTGTAGTTTACATATAGCAGCATTTTACCAGGACATGGGCCTGTAAAGTTCTACTGACATGTCCAAGTTCTGGGAAATGCCAAAGGTGAATAACCTAAATAATAAAATTTTAAAAGTTATTTTATTTGTAATCAACTATGTATTGTTAAACAGGTAATTAAAACTTTTTTATATAAAGGAAGCAAGTTTAATCTAACACTGTCCCATTAATATTTCAGTTAAAAGAAAAAGGGAAACCATTTTAGACATTTATGACCTTCCTCAGATAATAGAGATAAATTGGCTTTAGGGACACTCAGTAACTGCAGGCAACATGTAACTAAAATAAATGTTTTGAAATCTTACTGACACTTTGTATAGGAGTGGGTAATGGTATTTCTCCAAACATAATGCTGCTCAAACTCCACAAGGTAAACCAGCATGGAAGCTCCCAATTAAATCTCCTCTCAGAGGTTGGGTTATGGGGGCTGTGGCAGAGGCCTCCCAGCCCCATGGATCCTGGAGATCTGTATAGAATGGGAGATCAAGTCCTGTGGATGACTGGCATCTTTATAGTGTATTCTCTGTGCTGCTTTTTCTCCTTTCCCCTGCAAAAGTATGGCTGCTACAGGAGTTTTGCTTATATTGCTGCCCACTGTGCACTTACACAAATCTACCCACCCCGCAAGAGCACACATGGGGAGCATAACATTGTTTTTCTGGCAGTACTAAGTGTGAGTCCAGGGGGCTATCTACATCTCCAATGGGGTCCACACTACTCACCCTTACCTGAAACACTTTAAGGTGTTGACTCTGGAGTTTGGAAGAGGAGAAGGAACATAAAGTAGAGCCTCTGTTATCCTCCTTTGATGCCCTAACAGCGATTAACAGTTCTTATCTTTGTTACACTTCTGTTTTGCTATGGTGGGGTACTATTGTTTGAGAAATGTGCTGTGGGACAGACCCAGTCTGATTCTTGGGCCTAATCTCTTGCTTTCCAGGCTTGCAGGAACTGGAAGCACAACACCATCACCCCTTTAGGGCAGGTCTGCACATAAACCTTTTACTGCTTAAGTAAAGTTGGTTAAGCATGCGATTTATTTAAACATCATTTCTGTACTAGCAAAAGCGCGAGTGTGGACACATTTATCCTGGTGAGACTCGGTCTTTTGCCCAGCGTAACCTATTTCATTCAGAGAACCAGTGTAAGCTATACTGGCAAAAACACTCTTGCCAGTATATGCTGGATCTGCTGCAAACCTTTTCTGGTGTAGATTAGATATTCATCTAGAGGAGTAGATGATGGACTGAGCTTTGCTTTCCTTGACAATTTTATTTCCAATCTGATT